ACATGACTGCTGTAGTGTCAAAACACGGAGACACGCTGCCATGGGTGTAATAGTTAGGAACACTGCACGCCTCTTACAATCTCCCGGCGTGGCAGTTGCAACGATGGGGCAAGTTTCCTCAATGCTACGTCCACCCGGCAGTATTAATGGGTACATCACATTTGGCCGGTCACCACGTCTGGCACGGTTGGGTAAAGTTTGGTTAGGTCCAGCCAAGCGTGGAAGAATCGACCACATATCCTCTAAAGGGACGCTGTAGAACTCCGGCTAGTGAAGTCCCTTCCGCCAGCAGTCGCGTGATCAAGGCAAGGTGCCACCACCGCTGCCCATTCGCCTTTAGCCAAGTCACGTGACCCAAAAGGGCGACGCCGCGAGCAGGCGCTGCCAATGTGAGTCGGCGCCCTGCGAGTTATCGCGAGCAAAGTGTTGTGACAAAACGTAGGCCACGAACGCAATGTGTGAAGAAAATAAATCGCTTTGATGACACCGAGAACATTCAAGCCAATGCGACGAATTGAATGAGGCACGTGTCGCGTCAACACGTGACGCAGGCTGACACGCTGTGGCTCTCAAACTTTTTGGTTTGGCTGCCCCCTCAAACAAGACCATTGGTTCACACAACCCCCCCCCCCCCCCCGTTCCTCCACCATAGCTGCGTGAATCGCTCAAACCGATCTCTGCCGTCCATGCCTCTCGTCAACGCGGTGTTCGTGCGGGCCACTGCAACGTGGCACCGGCGTTCCACTTGCACATTTAAGGTTTCTCCTGCACGGTAATCATGCAACAGCTGCCCCCCCCCCTCTCCCTCCGCCGGCCCCCCTGAACGTCATTTGACTCACGGATTGAGGACCGCTGCGTTCTGGCGATGAAGTGACTGAAACACATCTCAGTTGAAGACCTCTAGGGCTGCCAAGTAATGGCCGCTCGTGATGTATTGGTCTGGCTGGAGACTGATTTTGTAGGGAAACTGACAGCTCACTTATTATGGAAGCAACACATTAATTCTGCCAACCTTGACGACTACATCTCGCATATATGAGTATCCCTTGATTGTAATCGATGGAACAGTTTGTTTCTTACACTTAGAGGGAAGTCTAGTGGGCTGTGTAAATTTACGGATACATTTCAGAGAATTCAGCATTTTAATAGAAGTGCCTCTTTAATTTTTAAAATACACAGTGCTCAATATTGACTAATGGTGTTCTATCTTGACTTAAAGCTTTCGTGACTGCAGGAATTAATATTCTTTGGGTCTTTCGGTAAAGTCACGTAGATAGGTTCAAAGAAAATAACAAAAAAAACTACGACGTTTCGATCGCGAGACGACGCCGTTTTTTGTTATTTTCTTTGAACCTATCTACGTGACTTTACCGAAAGACCCAAAGAATAATCGTGCTCTTCCATGGACTGTTTTTTTGCCAGAGCATTTTTTTCCCCTTACGTGTCAAATCCACTGACAGATGAACGCTTCCCCATGCTCCGCCAAACCTCGTCGGCTCGGGTTGGTGAAGTGGTGACCCTGAGCGGTTCGAATATATATAACTCTATATATCACTCGTCACTGATGTCATCCATGGCCAGGAATCCCACTCAGGCTGTTGGGTTCATAGCGCGGCGCTCTGTGTACTCTGCCACTTTGCTCACCGATGCATTTTCTTTATCAGAATTTTCAGGAAAATGTTTCAGGGATTCAGAGCGTTCATGGATTTTTAGGCCAAACGTGTACTGTTTCATGCGATAGCTGCACAATGATTTTAAGCGAAATTTACCTGGCCTTATTTTGGTTATGCATTGTTAAATGTGACCCAAAAATGCTCGATTCAATTGAATACCTGATTGAACGTGTGCATTAACATCTCCATTAGTCAGATTGATTATCTCTGGATTTTCTTTTTAATTCTCTCGTGCTCGCCTTCCAAATACTATTTACCTTTTCACAATCTACTCCCGTGACACATTGAAGCACGTCGTTTGGCTTTTTTTGGTCATCAGCATCACCACATCGGCACATTGGTTGCGTAGTTTATATTTTAATCAAGAAAATATATAATGAGTACTTAAGAAGACAAACTCCGCTGGGAGCGGCGAGTTCTACCCGGCAAGCGTGTCCTCGTGTGGACCGCCGTGGTGAATTTCGAGAGCCAAGAACTCTAATTATGTTATTGCTCTTATTAATGGAACCAATATACAACACAAACAAAAAAAGCTGAACATGGAGCTTTGGCGGCGCTTGCCCTGCCAACCCGATGACATCATTTGTGGAAGCTGGCTCGATCGCTGTCTTAATTTTCAGGAGACAACATTTCTATTTCATGAGCGTATTTGCTCAGCTGGCCAACTCGTAAGTACAAGGTAAAGGGGCAGCCCTGCAATTGCTCACGTCGCCGCTGTGGAAGGGCCTTTCTTCGATAGGGAGCTCTCTAGACAGCCCCTCTCGAGGGTATTTGGCCTACTCTTCTACGCTGGCCAGATGTCTTGGGAAAGACAGGAGCCACCCACGCTTTACCCAACCACACGCGTCTTTCCGATGGACCAACTGCGCTATCCAACTCTGGATGAAGGAGTTGAGTGTGCAAAATATTTGCAACGAGAGGAAACAAATTCGGCCACGCATACTCACTTAAATTGGTTGAACCGAGCGGATTTCCGGTGCTTAGAGGCAACTTATGCTTCTCACCGTGTATTTGTAGCCCTCGTTTTCATTTTAAATATTTGGGTTTTGCCGTGCCCGCAAACCTCTTAGACTCATCATTCGTTATTACGGCCACGGAAGTAATCTTTTAAATTGAGCACAAGGCATTAGTTTTATTCAAGAGAAAATGTTACGCATAATATCCAGTCCGAGACCAAAAAAAAAACGTGTGTTATGTATTTGAGATTGAATACATTATTATTTTTTTGCCTGCGGGAGCGGATTTTCAATTTTATTTTTAAAAGTAGCGACTGTGTACTGCGTAATTGACTGCTGTGTCGGAAGCATTTATTTTGTTTTACGCGACATGAATCTTAAAGAAAAGGCTGCGTTATATTCTAACATATTGCAACCTGGATTTAAAACAGTTACTCCTTACCTCGATTGCATTTGCTGTCCGTGCAAGGGTACCATGTCTATCTCGTTGTGAGAGTTTGTCAAAATTTTAACAGTTGCAGTCAAAACGCCCCATTAATCCTGACACTGAGCACTCTTTTAAACGTGGTATGTCGGCTGAGTTGTCACAATAGTCTCTCGGCTACTGTGCTGCAGAGAGGCCCGCAGACCTATAGGCCACTTGTGATGGGAGCGGTCGGTGTCGTGTGGCCACGAGACGGATGAAATAAGGTGCTGCTCCGTTATACAAATTAACAGAAACAAGTGCTCAGGCAAGCATTGGGTAATGCCACTCTCCATTGGCAATTCTGACCCAGCGATATAAATTCCAAAAAAAGGGGCCCTCATTTGATTGATTTTTGAGGAATGATGGGGTGATGATGCAGCCTCCCAGCTTTTAAACTTGCCACAGCAACAACAACAAGAACAGCAACATGATAGCTCCACTGTTATGGGAAGGGAAATATATCTCCGAGATGATGCTTTTCCAACTGTAGTATCTTCATCTCCGGACGGTTTGGCAGCCATCGCGAGACCAATCGTGAGACTCTGGGAGCTCCTGAGTGATTAAACCTAGTAAGGTGGCATGTGGACCTCCGGGACTAGAATGGTCTTTAGGCTGTCGAAATATCCAGTGATGAAAGATACTCCGGTTGGAGAAGAATCATCTTGGTGAGATTTTTTTTCCATCCATATATATTTTAGATTTTAATTTGAAATCCCAAACACCAAAATGAATGTTTTTTTTTACAACAACTTGCATTTATATCGGTATTTATGGTGTCCGACTCGGAGATGCCACATTTTGTTACGCGTTCTCGAGAAATGTTGGGCTCCAGGCACAGACAGTCGTGTGCAACACTCCAAGAAACTTTCCTCGCTCGCGGGCAAACTCGTTGCTGAGAATGTTATCAATAAGAACATATACGCACGTTTTGTTTATCCGGTAAATTCACTCTTGAGTGTTCTGCTTTAAAATTTGCGGGGGGGTATTTTTTGCACCACAACCATAAACACTTAACCATTTCAGCTGTTTAATTTTTTTCTAATTATATATTTACAATAACAAAAAAAAACCTGCAGCACATTAAACCCCTGAATCACAACCTCATTATAAACGTCATTATAAACGTCACATTTTATTATTTGCTGTGCCGACATCACTTAGTTGTTTGCAAGAATTGCCATAACACTCACGTGTGCCTCAGCAGTAGAGTGGCTTGCAATTGGAAGGTTGCAAGTTCAAGTCCATCATTCTTCCAGGCCCGATAAAATATTCTTTTTGTGGGCCGCTAACAGCGGTTGTTCTATGAATAGACTCACCCCCGCCATAGGAATGTAGAATTACCACCACTGGCTCAGGGCTGTAAATAGGAGATGAGTATTGCCTTCATGTTAATTGCAGTAGAAAATCACTTTGACTCGACTAAAGTGGCTACAACTGTGTTTAATTTTACGATAGTTTTGCACTTTGCAGATATTCAACACTGATTGCAACGTCACCGTATTTTCCCACGTGATCGGGCTGCAAGGTCACCTGAGTGCGCACCGCCATTATTTTCCACTCCCCGTAATCCCACGCTTAATTACCACAGCAGCCAGCTACTGGCGTGGTAAGCCACGGAAATCGAGCTACAGTAGTAGCGGACGGTTCTCTGGCCAAGAAAACAATGGCCCGTTGGTGACCGCTGGGATTCTGCCACACGCAGGGATAACAGTAAAAGGGGCCCAAGGCTGAACACGCTCCGTTCGTGATCACAGTATATCAGCTCGTGGGGTTCTGTTTTGTCCCCTGTTGTTGTACGGAGGCAGCCTTGCGTTGGACGCAGTTGCTCGATGTAATGCCGGCTTCGCGCTGTAACACCGTTTTTCCTGCACGTGTGCCCTTGCGCCTGTTGTCTCCCTCCGCCAGGTAAAGGATGTGATGAAGGATGTGATGGCCGACTTGCAGCAGACGAACAGCGAGAAGATCTTGCTGGGCTGGGTGCGCCAGTCGACGCGGGACTATCGCCCCGTCAACGTCGTCAACTTCACCACCAGCTGGTCGGACGGGCTGGCCTTCAATGCCCTCATACACAGCTACAGGTGGGTGCCAGTGGGTGGCAAGTCCCTCCCAGAGCACATCACGATGTGGGCTCACGCTCGCTCGACTGTAACTGTCACGTGTACCCATCCATACTGCTGGATGGATGGAGGTTTGTGGAGATTTGGTCAACTTTCCCTGGATTTCAACTGCCACGCGCCGGGAGATGAAATCGAATCGGCCTCATCTGGATTGCAATTCCACTGCGCTAATCATTACGCAGTGCCCCGATCTTAAATAAATGAAGATAAAAATGAGATGCTGAGCCAAACCGATTGTAAGGAAATGTCTGAAACACACGCAATATCACGGTCGGCGCTGGAAGGCTTGCACTTGTTGTTGTGGTGATTTACGTTGCCCTTCAAATCCATTTAGTTGCATTTCACGTGAAGACATCCTCCAGCCTCAGCAGGCATTTTTTCCTTTTCCGCTTTGCTGAAGCCAGCCCCTGGGAACGTGGAGTCGTGGGAGATTTTGGGGGTCCCCTTGCCTGGAACTCGGCACACGGGAGACAAAGCGGGCCACCAGCTCATCGCAAAGCGTTGTCTGTTGTCAAATATTTTTTTTGTTAGCTCCTGCGTCAACATCACTTAGTTGTTTGCAAGAATGCAAAGGGGTATTACAACTTTGCTGGATACTGAAATAATGATTTTAAACTTGTCAAATGCTATCATCAAACTCATCGGCCGAATTCAAAGACTGGTGGCTGAAATATCGACTATTGTTTTGCTTTGTCAGCATCTATTGATTTCCTTGTACTTCATTTGAGACAGTTTGTTTTACCATGATGTTGATTAATTGCTGCTTTTATTATTCTGTCAAAGTGAATGGTGGCCTCTTGTCAAAAGTTACGAGTTATAATTGCAGTGTCCTTTTCATTGTCATCGCTACTTTTTGGAACTTTTCTAAAAAAACATAGACCTGAGCTCATTGGCACATGTGCCCGCATATAAGTTAATCCGCAAAATGCTTTAGGAAAATGCGAGCAATGATTCCATGGTTTATGCATTGTGTGCGCGCAGTGGAGGAGATTTGTTCTTCTTTGTTCCCCTGAATTGGACGCTGCAGGCATACAAAACTCAGCAGCTTTGCGATGCCTCAGCCTTAGCCGATAACTGCGGAGACTTGGCCTGGATCCGAGTGCCGTTCCCGCGATCGGGGTTAGGGGTGACGGTCGTCAGGGGATGGCCATGGCGCAGTGCAACATAGGGCTGGCAGAAAATAGGACCAGCGGCCATGGGAGTTGTTTCCGTTTCACTGACTGCTTGAACACTTTCTAACCGTAGGTATCCTCTTGCACGAGAGAGACGTTAATGGGAAATGTGCATTGGCGAGCAGTGGAAACTGTTACATCCAGTCTGGGATTTTGGTCAACTGCCTTTTTGGTGACCCTGAAATGTCCCAAAGTTGTCTTCTCTAATAAAAACGCCGTCACATGCTATCAAGTCTTTGTTTTAGCGTGCAGTTTTGAGACTTCATCCTGATAAGTATTACGTAATTTCCCGCTATTTTCACCTGCTCGCTATAAGTTCCCTACACACCTGCCAATGTATTATCTATTAAGACTTCTAAAGTTTGTTTTAGCGCTAGCCATTGATGTTTGGGGTCTTTGTATGTATGTCGAACTTCTTTCGCACGGTACGGGGCCAACCGTGCTAATTCGGAGGTGCGGCATACCTCCGATTTGGGCCTGTGCTCAGAAATTGTTCAAATAAAAACGAAAATTGAATCATTTCAGGAGACCATGATAATGGGGGGGGGGGGGGGGGGGGGGGGGGGGGGGGGGGGGGGCGGGGGGAATAGTGCTGGCAGTGAAAATTACATTCAAATGCAGTTGGCGGTGATGAATGCAGAATATTAGATGGAGAGATGGGCATCTTGAGGAAAATGTTCACTTTGGGTTCAGGGAGTCGCGATGGAAGCAGTTTGTTTGTCTTTATGTTCGGGTTCTCTTTGGCAACCTGTTATTTGTGAAACAGCGGGTCACCTCAATAGCACCACAAGGAGCATGCTGTAAAGGAGATGCTGTGAATGCATGTCAGTGAGTTTTAAATGCATTTGATGATTTAAAGTGCCGAGTCAACATTTGCAAGAAGTAAGGCAAGAGAGCGTGTGCAAGAGAGAGAATGCTCAAAGTCAGAATTGAGAACATTTTAAAGGCTATACAATGAGCATTTTTTTTTCTGTTTGCACTGCTGAGAGACACGATTGCAATTTGCTCCAGGTAATGGATTTTTACTAAGGGGTTCAAAGTGCTCTGCTTCCCAGTTGATAAATGATTACCTTGTTGTGTAAGAAATAAAACTTTCCACGAAACGACAGTTTGCGATCTCCAACATAAAATAACATGCCCCTATTTTGGTGGCTTATGGTAGAGATATTTTACCTTGGTGCGTTGGATGCTCAGATGATATGAAATGTTGTTGAAGATGCCTAATGAAATCGATATTTCTTCAATGTTGACAAAGTGCCTGCGGTGGTCGCTGGATTTGGTATTTATTTGTAAAACATGGCCCACGTTTATTTATATTTTTGCAAATGAACCTTGAGAGCACCCAAGGCAGTGGTGAGGTTAACATATAATACACTGCAGTTGAACGTGTGAATAAATCATAATGCATTCTGTTGCAAAGATTTGCCTCTGTTAATACGGATATTTTTTTCTCCTCTTTCCCAGAATAATACATTATTCCAAGAATAAAACATTAAAATTGAGATTCATTTTTGACTTGCTGCAGAAATGTGTGCACATAGCAACACAGCTATGCTGCATGCAAAGCAGGTTGCAATCCAGCCTTTCCAAATATTATTATGAATAGTTATTGCAAGTGTTATATGAGTGCTACCATAAGAACTATGTGAGCAGTAATAATTGTTCATATGCCTTTTTCGGAGAGGAGTGGAGGCATAACGGTTAGTCCACTGCACGGCAAACACAAACTAAACTATTTTTTATTTGACCATCTAAGGCCCACTAAGCTATATCGCTCTTTGTCAGAAGTTACCTGGCCACAAACCAAAGCTCAACGAAGTGGCTCATCACCACGTGGACATTTCTAGCAGCAGCTGGATACTCTGGACTACGAATCTGACCCACTTGTGTTTCGTACGCAACCACGGCTAACGTCAGTGGTTCGTGATATCTTAAGCAGCCCCCCCCCCCGCCCCCCACTTCAACAACACACGTTAGTTAACCAGCACTGTGAAGTATGCTCAAAGAACCTCCGTGATTTGACAAAGCCAGGGAGACCTTCATTGTGGGCCTCTGGCTTGTCAAAGGGTTACAAATTATTATTTGTACATTTTCAGCTGTCGTAAATCACACGTAAGTAAAACATAAGTGTCAGGCCAATCAAGGGGCGAGTATTAAATCAAACAGGTGCAATTTATCATATTGTCATTCCAATTTCTGTTTTGGAAGACCTGAAGCGGAACATTAACGCTTTGACGGACGTCCGTTAATTTAGAAGCGGACCTTTCTAAGTGCGTGTCCTCATTTCTCTTTCCGATCACAACCACCAACCGTCTGCAGAAGCTTATAGAACCAGGTCATCAGTGCATCCGTGACAGTGCACGAGCAGGACAAGGCACGGTGCTTTTTTGGCATCGACCAAGCGAGGGACTGGGAGATTGAGAAGCGACGAACGGGGAAGGGGGGGGGTGTCGTGAAAGCCGTGACAAGCACGCGAGCTTTTTTTTCCCGCGCCAAATACTGCTTTTGGCGGACGCTTGCGCTGTTATCTCGCGGAAGAAGAATAAGACCATGTGGCCAAAGTCCTGTGTGGCACGTGTGGCGGATGCCGGGCGGGGGGGGGGGCGGTGAGTCGTTCCTCCACGGAAAGGTTGCTCGTTTTCTTGGCTGGCAACACGAGAAGGGGATGCTTGGCATGCTTGGCGAGCATCACGTTCGAGGAGATAGATTGCGCTCGCGTTAATGGCCAAATGGCACACTCCACACTGAGCAAAATCTTGCCCGGGGAATCCACGGCTAGGGCGGATAACGTGGACTTAGTTTCAGAATTGGTATCGCTTGCTGACAGTTGCCGTTATTTCATTAAACCAAATTTTTTTTTCTATGTATGGATGTATATGTTTGTGTATGTACGTATAGGTAGTAGTGCATGGAATCAGGAAGCATTGTCATTTTCCTGATTTGAAATGTATAGATATGTTTTTGATTAATCGCTTTGTCTTTTGAAGGATCCTAATGTAATGTGTGATAACACTGTGTAACAAACATTTTTTGTCCCTGGGTAGTAAGTGTTTTATTTTATAATTGCTTATGCCTCAAAAGTACAGAAAATGGCTATTATTCCCCACAAACTTTGCTTTTGTGACCAGAACAGTGATATTTAGAAATGTGCCTATTTTCTATGAGAAAACGTGGTGTGCATTTGTGTCATTCCTTCACGTAAAGTTCTGGTCAGAAAAGCAAAGTTTGTCAGGAATAATAGCCATTTTCTATACTTCTGAGGCATACGCAATTACAAAATAAACACTTACTACCCAGGAACAAAAATCGTGTTACATAGTGTAAGGTTGCCATATGAACGCGTGCATTTGTATCCCAGGGTTACGGTACAGTGGTTTTATAATTGCGCTACGAACCCAGTGAAATGAATAAGATTAGCAGCTATAGTTTAGTTTCAACATAAACTTAGTTTAGTCTTGAACAGATTCCTGGCCATGGCCAACATCAGTGGTGGGTGTTGTCTGAACCAGTCCTGGTCCCTCCCTAGGTTGACTCTACCCTAAATGAGTACCTGGTGCAGCGTGTACACATCAGCAGTTATGGAGAGACAAAGGCGGCCGGGAGCGTTGTGTGTGGGCCACACCAGCCCACTGTGCACCATGCCACCCTTAATAGGCACCACTTGTAGTACTGAACCCCGGCAGACTGTGAAAGGACTTCGCGATAATGTTTTTGTCTTTTTTTGTGCTTTTCGGAAATACAGGCCTGACCTCTTTAACTGGAAGACCGTTGCCAACCAAATGACGGTCACAGAGAGGCTCGACAACGCCTTCAATGTCGCCCAGGACCATCTGAACATCGCCCGCCTTCTGGATCCGGAAGGTAAGAAGGGCATCTTTCAATTATTTGTTTTCATCGTCGTCGTCATCGTTGAGCACAGGCCCAAAGAGCCATCGAAGAAGAAGAGTTAACGAGTGACTTTGCACGGAAGCCTCTTCTGCGCGTCCTTCGGCTGATTAGTAATACGCAGCCATTCCATGGCACACCTGCAGCTCGCAGTCTGCAGTCATCACTGCACCACAATGGCACCCATTTTCCCGTGGTCCAAAAACGTTGGCTCTTTAGCATGCACAGACAGCGACACCGATGATTAGTGCAAGAGCTGCCGCTTCTATGGTAACCGGTGAATTTCTATTGCACAGGCTCGCGGTCTGTGTTATTGTTAATGTCCTCTCTCTCTCGAACCCTTCTCATGGAGAGAATAATAATAATAATTGGGGAAAGAAATATATAAGGCGTCTTCCGGTGCCTTGTTATCTCTTGTTTGAATATTTAAGGAGAGCAGTGCCCCATTAATGGGTAATTTTACTACAGTTTGCAGACTCACTAATAGTGCTAATCTGCGGTATTGAACATATGTATGGAAGTTGGAAAAACAATATATTGCTTAAGGCTATGCATGCTTCTCTAACACCTGCTGTTCACTGTGCGCTAGGTAGATGGCACCGTTTTTTGGGTCGGTCTGAATTTTACAATTGCAATATTTGCTGTAATATAACAAAAGGTCACGTTTAAGTATATAAAAAATGGTAATGCATTTAAAGTAACTATTATCATGTTCCTGTCATAATTATTGGCATCTGCAGTGTCATGTACAAAGTGTGGATACTCCCAACTCTTCTAGCGTGGAAGAGTAGGCAAAAATACACTATTGAGGGACTCTCTCGAGCTACCTCTATTGGAGGCTGTTCCACCAGCAGTGGCCTGAGAGAGAATTGGCAGGGCTGCACCTGTACCCTTTACCTCTTCATAGTTCGTGAGCTTGCCGTTCCCGTGACATATACCACGTGAAACACACACACACAGTAAGCTAGCAGTACCTTATATACTCAAATATAATCCACACATCAACACAACCTTTTGAAAATGGCACGACGTTTCCTTATGGGAAACCCTTTCCCAATATCATTAACGCCTACTCCGTTGAGTCATCTTTGGAAGAAAAAAATGTTGGAACCAAAAAAAAGAATTGGTCCTAAAATACACATTGTCATAATAGATCACCTACCTTGCAATGTCATTTCCTTCTTTTCCAATTTAGTTGTTCTTCACAGTGGCTTATTTTATGAGCACTTGCAAATTCATGTTGGTAATGCACAATGTTGCTTGACCCATCGCAGTAACCAGAAAAATACGGTGATCAGAAAAATTTGGCCATTGCACTGTACGCGTGGATTTGCATTGGAGTGTTCCGAGCACGGGGAGACCCAATGCTGGGCCCACCTCAAATATTCCCAGTGGTGCTGCCTCTGTCACGAAGACCCACACACACGCACACACATGCGCACGTACACACACACACACATGGTGTACACTGTTTATTTTGTACAATGGATTGATTCGGGAGGAATTGGAAAATTTATTTTTTATATTAAAAAGGTACAGTTATTAAATCAGAGACATCTTGTGAAGCCACTGACTTCTGATGTGAGATTCCTGGATCAATAATCTTTAGAGTCACATTTATTACTGGCCTATCTTGGGATGCATGACGTTATACTTTTTCAGTGTTAGTCCGCTGCAAAAAAGGAAAAAAAATGGTTCATGATTGTTATAAATGCAGCTTTCAAAGATCTAATGCGTGAGCAATTCATGCAGTTGACAAACATCAATTTTACATCGGGGGGTAGAGGGCAGGGGGGGAATTCAATTCGATCGTAACATATTTTTTTGTGCTTCCAATCTTTTTTTATTCCTTGTGTTATGCAATTCATGTTCATCATTAAAACATAAAAAACCCATAGGAAATAAAACTAATGGCTCTTTATAAACATTTCAGATCACGAACTGTTCCTTGAAAATAAAAAGAAAGCTGAGATTTCACAGCCTAAAGCTTTTTATTTGTTCATTTACCGGTTATCATCTAAACACCGAGGCTTACGGGCGAAGAACAGAGAATGTGAGCACATGAAGCGAGTTAAGTTAGATAAAAAAAACATTTAGAAAATGCCAGCCTCAGACCAGCTGGTCCAAGCTTATACATTTTCATGGATATTTAACCGTATAATTTCATGTAATAAACCGGTGTCCTGCAGAATTTTTTTTTAAAGATAAATTGCAGCAGCCACGGTACATTTTAATTAAGTTTGGCTGTGTGGCTTCCCTCCTCCCGTGCGCAGACGTCGAGACGGCCCACCCGGACAAGAAGTCAATTCTCATGTACGTGACGTCGCTCTTCCAAGTGCTCCCCAAGCAGGTGTCAATGGAGGCCATCCGAGAGGTTGAGACTCTCCCACGGGCAGTGGCGCCGGCCGGGGCGGAGGGAGAGCAGAGGTACACCCACCAGGTGAGCAGAGCTGGGGGGTACACACGCACACTCACGCTTGCGGCGTTGCCAGGCGACATGCCGTTCGTGAGCGCCCTATTAACAGTGCCATGTACAACAGTAACGACGACAACGACAACTAGTCGTCATGTTGTTACGATGTGACGTTGATGCCGGCGCGATACCTGTGCCAATTAGGTGCGTTTTGAGGCCACGTGAAATGGCCAAGATCTCGGCATGCACGCACACGCGCGCACAAGACAACAACAACCGCTGTTTGCCACTAATTGACGGTGACATCACCACAGGGCTTCTGCTAGGTTAGGTGTAATTTTGTGACGTGCTGAATGGTCGCTGGAAGGCCATGGGTCAACTGACTGAGATGACTGGCAGAGTGCGGATTTTGTACACACACACATACACACATTAACGCTGACACACACTCATAGCCTGAGAGACTTTTGGGATCGTATGTGAAGCATGAGAGAGTTGTGTGGCCAGTCACCTGTCCAGCCATCTCTGTCTTTCTATTGTCATACAAAGCTCAGGCTATGTTCAGACACTACCTAAGACTGATGTGCATGGTCAGCAATTGAACCTTGGGTCACTGAGATTGTATATACACACATATGACACACACACACAAGTCAGGTATCCCCCATCTAGCCATATAGTCTCTTGAGGAAAGTCATCTTTATGAGCACCTTTTGAGGCTAACGTGGTGCACGAGGGGCTGGTGCAGTAAACACCTTGCCCAGCCACCTTTGTCTCTCCAGTGCTGACATTTACTTGCCATACTGCGGACTAATTGACAACCGAGTCGACCTTGCGGAGGCCCAAGACAAGTTTGGATGCCACGTGTCACTCGTGTTAGCCTTGGCTGGGAATGGAACTTCTTGCCAGCTCTGCCACAAGACGAATATCCCCCTCATAGCGCTAACAGGCATTTTGGCGCAAGCGTATTTAGAGAGCGTCCATGAAGGCCGGCACGGCACACGAGGATATGAGTGGCCAGCACCGAGCACGGCCGCTTTCGTCTCCCCAGTGGCGATGATTACACATGGCGCCAGGCACTCATTTGAGGCCGAGTCGACCTAGGGGAGGCCCAGAACCGGTCGAGATAATCGTCATTCGTGTTGGCCTAGCAGATGTGCATGCTCAAAGACTCACACGAGCTAACTAGTTTGCGTGCCATGCACGTGTGCGTTCACGTGAAGGTTTTTCACAACCATTAATACGTACGCACATGACACATTCACCTGTGGACCTTGAAACGCGTGCGGTGTGTATGTTGGTAACGTTGCGTGGGCTCGCGTGGTGTTTGATCAGCATTGCCTCCTCCTTTCGATGTCACACAAAGGAGCGTGCATGCCCAGCCCACAGGCATTGGCGTACTCATTAGGTCCGCAGACCATCAGTAGATTGTGACTCGCACAGATATAACAAAAAACGCTTTCAGGCAAAAGACAGGCAATATGGAACTAAGTCTTGGAGAGTGTCCAGGTGATTTGCTTGACTACTAAGATTACAATAATTGGGAAGACGTCCACTGTGGCTACTGTTATTCAAAAAAGGCTTCGAGCGACTAATTTACTGGTTCCATTCCCATTTTAACTTTTCTCATTGTACTTTGGAGTTACTTGTTTATGCGATTGCTACCGTTGTCCCAGTAATGTGTCGAGATGGCCACAAGAATGGATTTTGTGTTAATCCCACGGTTGTGTGCCATCCGACTTTCAGTGGCTGAAGGTGAATGTGTAGAGGTCCCTCCCCTCCCTCCGTAATATAATTTAATCCTCGCTGTTCGTGAGCCAACGAACGCGAGAGAATTTGAGCTAACGAGAGCAGCTTGAATGCTGCATTTATTAAAAAAATAATTTGAAGTGCTTTAGCTACCCAATCGTGTGCTTTGCCTTGAGCACTTCCTTATCTCTTTCTAATTAATTTAGCTTCAACTTTTACTTTTTTTTTCCGGCTTTAATTCTAAATGCTTGCCTAATGTACCTCCAGCAGTGCCGACGCTCATTTTCTGGTGAACACTTGCTTTATTTATTTATTATGCTTTGCTTTAATGTCCTCTTGTTTTCTCCCTGCAATATTCCCATTCATTTCACCCTCCCCACGCATTTCTTCCGTGTGCCTTTTTTTTCCCGCGCTTTGCTTAATGCTGTTCCCCTGCGCCCTCCACCCCCCTTGCCATATTTCCCCCCACCCCCTCTCCCCACCCCCTATTTCCCCGCTCTCCTTTCCCCCATGTTTCCTGCTTCAATCTCCCTCTCCTCCCACCTCTCCAGATCACGGTTAGCCTCTCCCAGAGCAATGTCACGGCTTCCCCAAAACCTCGCTACAAAACCTTCCTCTACGCGCAGCAGGCCTACGTGCTGTCCCCCGAGAGACAGAGGCGGGGCGTCCCGTCGCAGGTGTGTCCCCTCACTCGCTCCGCTTAGACCGATAGGCGAGGGGCAGAGGTGCAGCCCTACAATCGCCCGCCCACGCCGTTGCTACTGGAAGGGCCTCCGACCAGTGTCTGGGGAGCCTCCACTCTGTGATATTTGGCCTACTCTTAAACATTGGCCAGACGTCTTGGAAGAGGGTGGGAGTACCTACAATTAACCCCACCACAAACACCTCCGATTCGCACGGTTGGCTACTTACGGCGCGAAAGAGGTTAAACGTACGTACATGCATGCATGTATGCATACGAACCTGCTGATCGATATGCACATTTAACTGGTGTTTACGCAGAGGTGGGTGGGGAGAGGTGTTCTGAACCTTGCCCATTCGACTGCCACGCCGGGAGATCAATTAGAATCGGCAAACTCTGGCTTGCAAGTGCAGAGTGCTACCCATTACACCACTGTTGTAGTATCCAAGACGACCGATACCCCAGCTTGCGCACAGGCACACGGAATTCTTGTTGACTTCGCACACCTCCGCTCGGCGGCTAACGCGCACCCTTCCCCTGCGCTCGTGGCTAATGAAACCACTGTCGTTCATGGCGAAACAATTGGGCCTCATCAAGGGTAAAGGAACGGTCCACACGAGCAGCCGGGTGACGCGGGGGTGGCTCAGCGGTAACACTCGTGCCCCGCAACGAGAAGGGTGTCTGATTGATTCCAGACTTGGTGGGGGGGGCCTTTCTCGGTGTAGTTTGTGCGTTCTCCCCCAGTTTTCCATGGGTCTCCTCCAGGTTTTTCCAATTATCTCCCATAGATAACCCCCCCCCCCCCACGTAACCATGTCAATGGTATTGGCCACACATCCCAATTATAAAATATTACCAGCGAATTAGTCAATTGAGATTTTGAATGCTTGGCAAAATCGTCCCCCTTCTGAGACAACCTTCTGACTCCGTGAGGCTTCCCTTGGGTAAACAAGTGTAATTATAGCATCAAATAATTACAAATTACAAGTATTACTCCCTCTATATATAAGCTTTACAGCCACATGTCGTCCGTGGAAGACAATGGGTTATCAGCTTTTTTTTTCTCTCGTGAATTTAAATCGTTTCAACATTCCCTGCAGCGTACTCAAAAGGCCGTCCGCGGAACGACAGAGCCTGCTGACGCAGTTGTGTCGCGTCTGTAATTGAACGTGGTCCTGTCCCGGCTGACAGTGTGATTGACAAGGACCAGTGCCCTGATTTGCGCGCACGCACTTGTTCCCGAACCTGCTGAAAGCCATCTGACGCCGTTTAAGCTTCACAGCGCACCCGTGACAACCTGCGCAGTTGTGTTACTCTGTACGAGTAATTTACTCGCGGCTTAATATTACAATGCAGTTCGTAACATACGTCCAAGTAATGCATTTGTATATTGTGACAATTGTCTTTTTTTAGTGTGGTATATTAATGTCTTGTGATATAACATTAATATCACGAATAACCGTAAGACTAACTGCCTTTGCATAGCTTGAAGGAGAGGCCTTGCTGAATAGAGTCCAGACCTTGTACACGCTGAGATGACCAAAATCCTTATTTGCGTTTCGTTATCCAGTTTGTTTAAGCTGCCCCCAATATTGAATGGTGATTCGTGAAGTGGGTCCAGTGCATGTGCTTAGCAAAAAAAAGTGTTGTATTTGAATGTCCCACATTTCTTATGTGTCTCACGCTTGCTTTCCCCAGCTCATCCATCGTGGTATTGTGCCTGTCACCTAACACAGCGATTGGCTTTTTGGGTCAGCTCCCACAACACTAATTGGCAACTTCAAAACGAGCCGCTAATGTACACATTTTTGTCCCATAGATTCATTTGCAATTATCCTCAAATCCACACGTGCACCGAGTGCATCCAGAGTGGACGATGTGTTGTGCATGCACATAAACGGAAATCAATTTGACAAGACGGCTTTGGCAGAACATTTCATCTCTAATCTTATTATTTAAAAAAAATATCGAGGCGGAACACTCGAGGATGAAATAACTTTGGGGGAGACTTCTTTGCAGCATTTTCCAGAGCAATCTACAGTCAAGTTACAAACTTTTTAATGGCTGTAATACACTGGCCTTTAAATAGCAGAGCTCCATTTAATGTCACATAGCATCACGTCACCACCATTACCACCAAATCACCACTGTCCCATATTTTCATACGACGATTACATTGGAGGCTGGATTCGGGCTTAATTTTTTTCGCGGAGCACAAATATATCCGAATGTAATTTTTGCTCCTAAAGTGTTTAAAATTTAAAACGACGAACGGTCACCTCCAATTAATTTTTTAACCCCACCCACCCCCCCCCCCCCCAAAAAAAAAGCACAAAAACAAAAGCAGGATAATTTGCCATGCACAAGGCGTACCCTCTCTAAAAATAAATTCGTTTGAAATGTCCTTCGGTTGCAGCTGTAGGGTGAACGCATTTCCCACTGCTCTCCGTTATAATTGTGCAGAGGGCAAAATGGGTAACCTGTGTTTGATGGTCTCCGAGTCGTATTACTCTACACATTCATACTGAGGCAAGTAGCATTGCAACCCTCCCCTCCCTTCATTTTTTTTCTATATATATAAGCGCTCATAGGCATTCAATATTTAAAAGAATCGGCCAAAAGCTATTTCACACATGCATTTGCTATGCACACTCGATGGCTTAACTATCCGCGCAAAATATTACATGTGAATAGCATTTATATTACTGCATCACGGACGGTGAGAGGATGGCGGTGGCTTTGGGAGGCATTCATCCAACAATGGATTGGTCATGGCAGCTAATGGATGCTATAGTATGTGGGGTGTCCATATAGGTGTCATCTGCTATTGAGAAATTCTAATAACATAGCAGTCTCAGAGAGGTAAAAACCCTAAATAAGGAATCCCCAGTATAACCTTGAACAGACTGTTGGTGCAAATGCTGTTAGCGAGCACCACATGAAAGGGCCGGCATGGCACGCGAGGGGGTGGGTGGCCAAACACAATATCAGGAGGTACTCATTTGAGGCTGAGTCGACCGAGGGGAGGCCCAGGACCTGTACAAAAGTTTGCCACTGTGATTGCGCAGAGCCTTCCCTAGGATACGGCGAATCGTGGCGACTGACCCGGGCCCCGTGCTTTGGGGGGGGGGGGGGGGCACCCGCTTTGACGTCACAGTGTCAGAAGAAATATTTCCGGTTTAGTTTGAAGGCGTCGTGGGGCCAACACGGTGTGATTTTTCCTGGGCCCTCCACCGTCCCCCATGGACTGCCCTGGTTATTGATCGTGAGTGGGAATTGAACTCATGCCGCTGGGCTCGTAAGCACAGTTGCGCGAACCACTGCACTTCCCGCTGGCTACCCCGATGTCCACAGACACCTGGTTTTGTAAAAATGGTGATTGTCCGAGTCTCGACGCTCTCCACCTCCACCATGGTGGCACTGTTGACGCACCATGGCACACGGAGGTTGAGAGAGTGGCAGGTGTTCGCCACCATCTCCCGGCTGATTCTTGTTTAATGGTTTTTACACGCTGCTGGAGATGGTTCAAGCATATTCATTTTTATTTTTGTTTTTCCGCACGCTTCATCTTCCGCGTAACCCCCAACCATGCTGTTATAACCACCCTTTTACAAATGTATTATATTATTTAATAACACAATACACCTTTGACCGATCGCCATTACGTTTGGAGATTATGTTAACGCTTAAATATAAAACACGTGAGAATATTTGCTTGTCACATCGTCAGATTTTTTGGCAAATAATTGTAATGTGGGGGAAACTTTCACGTGTTTCTGGCCAGCTGACTCCAGTGGTAGAGCCAATGGCTCGCAATCAGAAAGTTGCGGGTTGACTCAGCCCATCATGCCTCCTCGGTTGATAAAAACAAGTACTACTATGTGGGGAATTTGACAGAGGTTGGCCTATGGATAGACCTGCCCCCGTCATGAGAACGTGGAATGTCCTACAACTGGCTCAGGGCTGCAAACAGGGTGATAAGCACCACTTGACCGGTCATTTGAGCAGGACATTGCTTTTTACTTTTTAACATTTTCTTTTATTTTCGTAGTTTTGTTGAGAACCTGCGCTTCACTTGCACTTTGCTCCAACATCCAGAAAACATTTCATGGAAAATATTATCAATTCAGAACTTGAAAAATGAACCCTCCGCATTATAGGTTCGTTAGTAATTTAAAAAAAGTGTACTTGATGAGAGCTAGTTATATCGCATGTCTGCTTTCAGACATAAACATATATTTGTTGAATTGCAAAAGAGCCACTCTAACTGCTTTGAATATTGAAGACAACATGTATGTGGAGGCATTTCCATTGTGTGGCATGCATTATTTTTTGTATTTCTTCCCAGGCTAATTTTAGCTTACGGGAGCCACTCCAATACCCGTCGAAGTCTGGGGTATTGCGAGTACAATAAGGCCTAGAGTATATGCTGAACATGGTGTAATGTTTTATCACACCGGACTTTGCAATCCAGTGGGCTCCGGTTTGAGCTTTAAGCAAGACAGTTGAAACAAATGGCAAGTTTATAAAATCCCCCCCCCACCTCTCTCCATCATCCGGCAATATGAATGGCTAGTGGATTGGCAGGTCGCTTGTCAAAGCCAGAATATCTATTTATGCTGCAGGAGGAATCCGATGAACTATAACACTTTTTTTTTCACAGATGTCCAGAAGTGCCTGGGGTAAAAGTGTACAGTACCATTCCAGGTGCTTCCCACCTCTTCAAAAGAATGATTGGCTGAGGGTGGAAGAGTAGGGAAAACTACCGAATATCGGGGCTTTCTAGAGCTCCCTCTAGTTGAGCCTGTTACATCAGCAGTGGCTTGAGTAGAAAATTGCAGGGCTGCACCTTGAGCTTCCACACCTCTGTTTGGAGCTTTTTGTTCTAATGCTGTCCTGTAAAAGGAATGTGTGGTATATATACTGTGTGTATGTTAAAGCACTGCGGGATTATGAAGTATGAATGCACAATTGATTAAATTGTCGCGCAAGAGA